AGTATATATCCAACCTGTGGATCAGCGTTGGTTATGTGCACTCCGTAGTATCTTTGAATAACTGTAGTTGCAGCCTCCGATATTCATTTTGTTGTCATGATGTCACTTTTGGGGAGTACACTTTGTCTTTATATAACTCCTGACATTTTATGAAGTTTTACACTGTTCATAATTCAAAAAAGTCTTATAAAGCTGTTACTATAGGATTCTGACAATGGTGTATAACACAGAGAGATATTGGGTTTTCGGACTTTATCCATCGTTCTGGTTTTTAAGATAACTAATAAAAACACGACGTTTCGGAAACCGGATCTGTTTCCATCCTCGGGTGAGGGAAAAACACCTATTCTGTTGGATCCCTTAGAAAGAGCTAGCCTCAATCCTCACCTGAGGACGGAAACAGATCCAGTTTCCGAAACGCCGTGTTTTTCTTAGTCATCTTAAAAACCAGGACGATGGATAAAGTCCAAAAACCCAATATCTCTGTGTCTTATAAAATGTTATAAAAGTTTTAAAACACAAGAGTTCTGCTGTGTGAATAATAAATGTATCTGTAAAATTAAAGTGTAAAGATGCAGCATACATGGATGAAAATTTCATAAGTGGTTCAATATATGAAAAATACATACGTGGCATGAAGATTATTTCATTAATGTTTTGGTACAGATTCATATATAAAATTTCTCCAAAACCTAATAGGCTGAAATGTAAATAAAATGATTTGATGTAAGACACCTTCAGCCCCTGACCATATACCTTTCATTCATTCATTCATTCATTTATTGTATATTCCATAAATCCATATACATAGATATAGAACCAGTCACATAGTTAATATAGTACAATACAATTATAAATACATATGTACAGCTTATAATCATTATAATACATAAAAAAACATATGTTAAATTTACAGTCTTACATCACTACATAAAATTATGCAATATTAAAATTGTTTATGTTATTATCCTATTTCTAGGCAAATTTGTTACTAAAGAATTCATCACATGTATAAAAAGAGATACACAAATGTTTCTTACATGTGAACAACAATTTTGGTATATCAGGATTGAGCATCTTTTAATGGTTAATTCCCTCAAAATAAGTTCTACAACACTTACCCAAAATGAGATTGTGTGGTCTTTTCTTGTTGTGTGAAGTAAACATAAACATTGATGCATCATTTTTCTTTGAAAATTCTTCAATAGGAGTAATGTTTTCAAATGGTACAATATTATTCAATTTGTTTAATATCTTTCCATGTGGCTTCTTAATATCATACTGAAATGGTAAGAGCAGAAAGTGACTCTTGAGTAAAAGTGTGAAGCAATGATAGAATTACAATACTGAAAAAAAAATTCTAAAGTGTTCTGGCAAGGTGTATAATACAACACTGCCAATATCAAAAAAGCGTTTGACCTAGTAGATCATGATATATTGCTAAGTAAGGTGGTTCTAAACATACTTAGAAAACAGAGAACAGGCGGTAGAAATTATGTACAGATGCAAAAACTAACTGAAACATTAATTACCTATCCCGAAAGAGACCCATCAGCTATGGCGTCCCACAAGGTTCCGTTATACATAAACGACCTGAGGGCCAGCATAAAACATGGGAAACCTATACTCTTTGCTGATGATACAAGGATTTTTATAGCAGGAAATAGCGCTAACGAAATTCAAAGGAAAATGAAACAATAAACAAAATCACAAAGTGGTTTGAGAGGAATCGATTAACTATTAATAAAGAGAAAACAATAGCAATAGCCTTTCATCATCCTCAAAAACTACAACTTGAATGCCCTCCAATAAAGATTTATGACACTCATCAACTACACAGATCACTCAACATTTCTGGGAGTCTGGCTAAATAAGCATCTAAGATGGACTATACATATGCAAAAGTTAGTGAACAACTTATGTAAAGTATGTTTTGGCCTAAGGGCAGTTAGAAGAGTAACTGGACTAGAGACTGTCCACATGTTACATTATGCTCATTTCCAATCTTTGTTATCATATGGACTGATATTTTGGGGCAACTCGGTAAATGCAAAATTGATCTTTAAATTACAGAAGAGAGCTATAAGAGCCATGACCCATGTCCCAAAAACGACTAGTTGTAAACAAATTTTCAAATCATTACATATATTACATCTACTACCTTTGTACATATATATGAAACTCTAATATATATATATATATACTCGTAATCCAATTTGAATGATTTCACAACTAACTCAGGATTACACTCATAAAAAACAAGGAAAAAAGAAGACTTGCACATCATCCCATGTAATACAAGTCTATGCAAGAACAACACTAACAATGTAGGACTTCGATTGCTAAATCATTTGCCACGATATATTAAAGAAATACTGGTATTATATAAGTTCAAAAATGCTTTGAAAACTTACCTACTCGATCCTTGTTTTTATAAAGTGGACGAGTTTCTCTCATGTGAGACAAACACTAATCAATTATAATCATGTAATTCATGAATAATCGGTTTTGGGAATCCCTACTGTGCAGTTTTCCTTTCTTTTTTTCCCAGCAACCAAGATAACACAGTCGGAGATGTACCTGAATGGGCTACTCTGGAGAGATTGCAGATACAAAGAAGCTGCACCAGGAAGGGAGAACAGATGTAATGAGATGTTGCAGTGTAGAGTCTACAGTGAAACGCTATACCAGTGCTATCACCAAATTCACCAATATTATCTCAAAGGACGCACCATAGCTTAAGCAGTTAATCGCTGGGTTCCCACCGCTGCGGTCTAGTCAAGTGGGATTTGTGATGGACAGAGTGGTGCTGGGGTAGGTTTTCTCAGAGTACTTCGGTTTCCCCTGCCAATCCTCATTCCATCAAATTATCCATAAGCATAATCACCGGTACAGGTACAATAGGATATATGGAGGCCAACGTGCCAAGGGGACCTAATATGGATTCCACCTCACACTATACGAACTCTAACAATTGTAAGTACTGTAACTTTACTCTCTTATGTAATCTGCCAATGTACAGTAATTGACTTGTCCTATATCATGTAACAATGATCTAAAAAAGTAAAGCTAACCCTGTACCAGGCCATGAAGGCCCATAGGGTTGTGAGACGTTGAGGGTCCCACATTATCTAGACAATCGGCTCAAAGATGGCGGTAAGGTTATCAGCCTTATGCGCCAGCCGTGCTTTACTCACCAGGAAAATTATTTAATTAATTCCTGGTACTCATTATAGAGACAAAATAAATAAATACAAATCTGATTATATGTAATGTCACCCTTACCAGATCTTTCATGCAATTTGCCACTATCACACTAGTCTTTCGGCCTTTAATGAACAAAGTATTTTTCGCATTCTCCACCAACTTTGGTTCTCTGGCCTGTAGAGCCCTTTTTGCCCTATGGGTTGTTGGCTTCCTGAAGGCAAGATACACTAATTAATACATGTATATAATCATATTTCTATTCAGATCCTCAACCATTAGATTAAATAGCTCTACTGGGCATATTTCAAGATTTGTAGCTACTCACAACACAACAAGGTATAGTTGTTCTGCATGTCAGATCATAAAACTGTTCAACTAACCAATTTTTAACAGGTAAATACTGTGTATGTAAAATATCAGGAACAGTCTGATAAGGTGCATCATTTTATAGAATTCTGATGTGAAACTGTATGCAGTATCAAGTTACTAAATATACGAAGGATATGCAAAGAAGTTTCTACTGCATCCAAATATGTGTATTAAATTTACTTTTTGGTGGGATTTAATTTAAAATAAACAAGGATAAGATTTACACAGCAGCATCAAATCATTAAATTCAGTGTCACGTGTTGTTGTGTGAAAATGGGGCCATGGCAGTTGAAAAATTAGAATGGAACTGAATGTAGCACATCGCTGCTGATAATCATTTATGTTCTTATTACGATGCAGTACTAGAAAAGTCGTATACACCAATAAATCAGTTTATAACCTATAAATCTTTACATGTCCATTACAAGGTCAATTATAGCCGTAAACTGGTTGAGAGTTTCTATTTTAGGAAAGATATCAACTATGTTAACAGTGATTCTTAAAATAGATAAATATTGTCTGAATATTACGCACACAACCCTTTGAATAACAGGCATGTCTATCTTTCACAATTTCACACACTTTACCGCACTTTACTATACACTGACAAAAAACCACAAAATCGCCCAACTACAACTGCTGCTCCAGTGATACAAACACAGCAGTTGCAAAATGTCCCTTTCATGTACCTAAATTGCAAGAATTTATGTAAAGCCGGAACATGCTACATTGCCTGAAGAGAAACAAAAGAGCGGTACACGTGAAAATGGAGTACTGTATAAGTAGGTTCGTCGATCACAACTATTTTATACTTTCGACTAATAAGTGATAAACTAAAATTGTCAATAAAATCAGTTAGTTTTATTAAGATGTTATATTGCTATATGTATCGGTAATTCGCAACAAAATCCATCTACCTTCACAACCAGACTGCGTGTCGCAATTGCAAGTAGTCTTGCCATGCAAAAGATTTTTCATGGAATTACAATTTTAAATGTGATGAAACAAGGTAAGGTAAAATTGTCCCCGTGCTTATCTAATTAAGCACTGCACCATGGAGACGTATGGGGGAGTGGATATATAGATCTACATTTTCTAGACCTCTGCACTAGTTGGAGGTGAGTGGTCAGCTTCACGCGCCGGCCACTTTACCCCCGGGAAAGAGCCCTAGGTACCCATTGTATAGGAGGCTGGGTGGACCCCAGAGCCAGTCAGGACGATTGTAGAAGTGAAAATTCTTGACCCTATCGGGACTCGGACTCCGACCTCTCGGTCGTCTAGCCCAAGGGTCTCCAAACTACGGCCCGCGGGCCAAATTCGGCTCGCGATGTGATTTTATCCGGCCCGCGAAAGAATTGTGCAGAAATGCGCCAATTGAACTAATTTACCAATGAGTAATGGTAAAGAGAATACTTGTGCATAGATTTCAAATTCATTAATTAAGATTTTGTTTAAAATATACTGATATTCCATATTATGTTAATATTAATATTATTCACAATTTTACTAATTCTGGACCGTATACTGCGCGGTATTTCTTCGTACTTGTTCGGCCTCGATCGACAGTGTCACTTCGTGGCAATGTAGGTAGCGCGAGCAGAGTTTCCTTCCTCGATGCAAATTTAGTCATTTCAGATTTGAAAGAACAATTTCGGAAGCGATTTGCTGATTTGGATGCCAGTGCTCAGGAAATTAGATTGTTTCAAAATCCGTTTGACTGTGATGCTGCAGATGTCCCAAGTCAAATTCAAATGGAAATTATTGAACTTCAGGAAAATTATCATATAAAGACAATATACAAATATACAAATACAAGGAAGGAAATTTGATCGAATTTTATAAATTTCTGAACTCTGAGCAATTTCCATACTTAAAGAAATTTGCTTGTAAATTTATCTCTATTTTTGGGACGACATATCTGTGTGAACAAACTTTTTCCCAGATGAAGTACATCAAGTTGAAATACAGGGCAAATTTATCCGATGAACATTTAAAGTCACTACTTGTGATCAGCTTTTCAAAATTTTAACCTCAATTTAATCAGATTTTAAAAATGCAAAAAGAGTTCCATCATTCACATTAATTGTTTTATTATAATTTGTGATGAAAATATGAGCATTTGCTGCTACTGTCTGTTGTCATTAATATACGATAATTTATTCTCACGTACTTTGTATTTAGTTTATGAAATTCTGTGCTTTCAATGAAACTCATATACCTAGAGTTATTAATTTCTCATTTTATCCGGCCAGTTGAAAGTGCTGAATTACCTAATGTGGCCCGCGTTTCGAAAAGTTTTGAGACCCTTGGTCTAGCCCATAGGCAGTCGCTATATCGACTGCGCTATCCCGGTTGGAATTGTATTGAAATACTTGTCTAAAATTAGTAGAGCTTATTTAAAATTTTGTTATTGTCCTAAGAATGATCTTATTATACACAGGGGTTTTTATATGGATTGAAGTAGGGGGGAATGGTGGTGTATATCAGTATATGTAATGTGTTTTCGGACTTCTTATTCTTTATGGTGACGCAACTGTTAAATGTTGATGTTATGTGAGTATACATTGTTGGTGGCAATGGCCCCTTGTCTTCTTATTTTGGCGGTTTTGTGCTTTTTGACGTTCTATGGTAGACTCGCTGGTCGTGTTCTTATTTGTTATTCTATATTAGTAAGCTTCTGCATATTGAAAATTTGCTAATGATGATGTTTCCTGGTTTCTTGTTGAGGTGTAGTTTCGTTGCTTCTAATGGTACCGGACTGAGTTCTTGGGAATGGCACCTTCATCATTTTGTCAGGTCAGCTGACTCCTATGTCACACTCCCGGTGAGTGTGCGATAGACCTAAGAAGCCCCACGTTACAACCGTGGTTCTCATTTGAAGCTTCATTTTTGACTCGGGACTTAGCCGGACTCAGTAAAGAAATTACACTGAGGCCTGCCTTTCTCAAAATAAATCGCCTTTTCTGTCCGTTTCCCCAATCTATTATTTCTTAATTTAAATATTCTAAAAAGGGAGGAACATAGACTGAGGGTTTTTGAGAACATGGTGTTGAGGAGAACATTTGGATCGAAGAGAGATGAGGTGACAGGAGGTCGGAGAAAACTGCATAATGAGGAGCTTCATAACCTGTACCCTTCTTCAAGTATAATTAGAATGATCAAGTCAAGGAGGGTGAGATGGACAGGATGTGTAGTACTAATGGGAAAGAAGAGGAATGCATATAGGATATTAGTGGGAAAGCCAGTTGGGAAGAGACCACTGAGAGGACCAAATCGTAGGTGGGTGGACAGTATTAAAATGGATCTTGGAGAGATAGGATGGGATGTTATGGATTGAATTTATGTGGCTCACGACAGGGACCAGTGGAGTGCTCTTGTGAGCACAGTAATGAACCTTAGGGTTCCATAAAATGCTGGGAAGTTCTTAAGTAACTGCACAATTTGTCGGCTTCACAAGAATGGCTCAGCTCATGAGTGAGTGAGTGAGAGTGAAATTAAATGATCGCAAATCAGAAGATTTCTGGAACCCATGATGACCAACTACGTGGAATAGCATATAGAAATGAGTGACCCATAAATTCTTGGTCCTTGTGAAAAGTGAAAACGTTTGACGACAAAATGTGTAAACGTGAATTAAGTGTTCAAGTTCTGTTAGCTACAGCAGTTAACCTTTGCCGTTATTTTCTCTCTATCAGAAGTACTTCCAATTGTCGGTGCAGCGACAGCGCTAGCTTATATTTTGAGTTAAAAATTACGTGGTGCTATAAAAATTTTCCCGAAATTTGAATTTTGCGCGCGAATGGTTATGAGTACATCGAAATACCGCCAGGTGTCTCCTCACACACCCTTCTCGAATCAGTGTGGCAAGCGGCGTCGAGTTGAGCGGTTGGGTTTATTGTTGGTGAACGTATTTCCATAGTTGTGTTTCCGTGAGTTTGCGGTCTTGCGATGGCTGACCTGAGAGAGCAGCGTGTCTGTATAAAGTTTTGTTTTAAACTTGGGAAAATCCCTGGAGAAACGTACCAAATGTTGAAGCAAGCTTTTGGTGACAACAGTTTAGGCCAGACACAGACTTACGACTGGTATAAGCGTTTCAAAAATGGCCGAATATCGACTGAAGATGTCAATCGTTCGGGACGGCCGNATATTGACGGGATTGTTCATAAGGAGTTCGTCCCTCCTGGTCAGACAGTCAATAAAGAGTTCTATCGCGATGTTCTAAGGCGTTTGAGGGAGGACATGGGGAGAAAACGTCCAGAGAAGTGGCGCACGAACGGCTGGGTACTCCACCATGAAACTGCACGACCGCATACGACTTACAGTGTACAGGAATTTTTGGCTAAAAACAACTTGACAGTTGTTCCCCACCCACCGTACTCGCCAGACTTAGCTCCATGCGAGTTCTTTCTCTTCCCCAAGACGAAAATCAATTTGAAGGGGCGAAGATTTGATACAGTTGAGGAAATTCAAGCGGAAACGCAGACGGTACTAAACACCCCAACAAAGAAAGATTTCGCTCTTCTTGTATGCGCTCCCAAGGGGACTACTTTGAAGGTGATGGTGCAGAATAAGATCCAGTAAGACGTAATAGTTTTTATTAATATATTTCGGGAACTTTTGGATAGCACCACGTACGTGGGCCGCTCGTGATTATTGCCAGTCTCTCCAAGAGACTACTGGCCCACATCACTACCTTCAAACAGGCCAAGACCACCCCATCCCACATCCATAACTAGTCACCGTTTTTATCGTGTTCCCATCTCATTCGATGGTTTATGGCAACTCATACGTAGTTGAAAGTATGTTGTTTACGAACTACGACATAATCACTTTTCCTCAGCATGGGCGCTGCGTAATCAGAGGCGTTGACATCGTCATTAAATAAACCAAGAACGGAGAATAAGCACAGTGTGAGGTTATAATTTTGTTTCGCGTTCTTCCTACATTATTTAAGGAAATGCATGTTTTATGAATGTCATTTGCTTCTCCTCAATCAGTAACGTTCGTGCTATAGAAGTAAAACATTACAGTCCTAATGAAGATGGAAGGGCTTGAGGGCCTACTTCATGGAATATAAAACGATTATCTTACTTATTCATTTTAGGGCCAGACATGGGCTCCAGCAGGGTGGAGACAAGTCAGATATCTGCCCCAACCTCATGATTTTGAAAAAAAGAATTAAAATTGAAAAAGGACATATGCAAATATAAATTACAAAGTATCTTCTGCAGTGTGTGGAGCCACAAATCTAAAGCGATCCATAAAAATATACTTAAACAGCTTAAATATAAATTTATAAGGAAATTTTCTTATTAACCCCTATTTCGCAAAAAAAAATCTTTGCTCTCCCTGCCCCTTCTCCCCTTTCCGCTCCATAAAATAACACTGGCAGAGAGCATGGTGTATGGCTGAATTCGAAAGTTTGGGTTTTCAGTCTGTTCTTCACAATATTTTCTTTTCATTCTGTTCTATGTGGGAGAGTACTTCGATAAATAGGTAAGGCGCATTGGCGCCTGCGCATTGACTTTCAAATCAGCATGCGTGTTAATACAGAGTCCTGGAGACATTCAACTTCAGTACACGTCGCTGGTTGGTCTGTTGTTGGAGGCCTGGCACGGAAAGGACCCGCGAGTTTTCAGTCCGAGATCGTCTTTAATTTCTGTCTTCGATTAATCTTTACGTTTCCAACAGGACGGAATATTATATGCATACGGAAAATTTTGTGTACTTTTGTAATTCGAATTTTGTATAGTTTAGTGTGACCCGACAAAGAAATCTGAAGCCCCAATATGGATGTCGACTCAGACTTGGAGCAACTTATGAGTCAAATAGGTCAGTATTCTAATTTCATAACTATAAATACCATGGACTATTTTATATTATGTCTCACGTGCAGATGTGCAATTCATTCGTTTAACTCGAAAATGTTCAATGTTAGCCCAAACATTGCATTTCAGGTATTCAGATTAAGAAATTACATAACAAGGAACTTCGCGAGTTATACAGTTCATATAGTATTAGCATAGCGAAATCGAGAGGTGACTGGACGTGGGAATGAACCTCTTAGAAGTCGTCCACTTTGAAAGCCGAGACGAAAACATGGTGATCCTGTTAAAAAAATCACGAGTTGATGTGTAGGTCGTGGGGATCAGAATTAATAGAACTGGCTCAGGATGTAATTCAGTACAGGCCTTTCATATTAGTGATGTTGAACATACGGGGTTTTCTTCCACGTTGCCTGTTGTGTTGCACTTAAAAATAGTTCTCTCCCTCCACCCCACAAAATCTCATATTATTATTATTTGCATCATGCTTCAGTAACTCCTATGTTGTAATCATTCGTAAATGTGGAGTGTGTAGGAAACTGCACTGTCAGAACTTACATCTGGTTCCAGACACGAGTTTAGAGCAGCAAGAACTCCAGTCAAGGCGCAAGCCGATTGATTTGGCGCTGTGAACTAAACTGTACCCATTAAATTCCCCATTTGGTTGCGTGGCTTGGCACGCGCACCTTGATGTGTGTTGACAGGGCCTATAGTTAGATCCCACATGTAAATTCGTTAAAAGAGAAAATGAAGTTACATTAGTACAGAGATTTTACAAAAAATATCTCAGGTTAATTACGTGTTGTATCACAGCGATTACCAAACCGTGTTCGTAAGAACCGCAGTAGTGCAAAGGAAAACATACGGCAAGTCCAGTTTTTCTATTTGAAATAGGAGTCAATGCGTCCTAATAGTTTATCGGAGTATAGTAAATTAATATCAGGATTATAATTTTGAAAGATTAGTCTAACGACTCCTAAAGCTGACATTCAGGTCAAGGAACGTGATATGAAAAAGAGTGTAGGCCTAATGCTTTACATACTTACTCATAGAACTGAGCATTTCTGGAGGAGCCGCCAATTCTGCAGCTACTCAATATTCCAGCATTTTATGGAACCCGAAGGTTCATTACCGTGTTCACAAGAGCCCTCCACTGGTCCCTATCCTGAGCCAGATCAATTCAATCCATACTATCCCATCCTATCTCTCTAAAACCAATTTTAATATTGTCCACCCACCTACGCCCTGGTCTTCCCAGTGGTCTCTTTCCTTCTGGCTTTCCCACCAATATCCTATACGCATTCCTCGTCTCCACCATTCGTGCTACATGTCCTGCCCACCTCATCCCCCTTGACTCGATCATTCTAATTATACTTAATGCTTGACAAGGTGTCTCAAAGTTAGGACGATGGTTAATGTTAAGAAAATTATCATTCTTCGAATGTTTTACGAGTATCAGTAATTTTTTTAATTTCATGGCTGACTCTTAGCGTCTCAAGAAAGATTTCGCTCCGTGGAATTATCCGTAAGATACGTATTTAGTCAATCTCAATGTGAAACTTTTGCTTTCGTGGTTATTCTTTTACTTGTAGTTAAAACATCGCCATATTTTGAAGAAAGGCGTCGTCTGGGATGTGGCGCCGTGTAGCAATTGTGTTAACCGACCTTTCGGAGGAACGTATCGCCTCCATCTTCAGGGTATAAAACAAGAAATCCGCCAGCGAACCAGCTAGAGCAGGTGCAACAAACCTCCGAAACGTCGGTTAACACAATTTCTACACGGCGCCACATCCCAAAAGACGACTTTCTTCATAGTCACGGCCGTGAAAACCTCAAATCTTACATCATATTTTGTTTCATTTTTACCCCACTATTCTTTTGGTCTTGGCTCAGGGCTCTGTTAATATTTTAAAAGATCGAACAGGTTCCGCGCACAGAGAAAAGTTTTGGGAAACCCTGTACTATGAGATTATTTTAACTTCCAACTACAAAGATAGTTATGAATAGCGAAGACCTATTTTGCAGGAAAGTTAACCGCTCGTCTGAAGGACCACTGTCATTTTCTTTTCATGATAACGGGTATATAACACGTCCCTACTTTCCGATTCGAAACATCATAAAGGCATTTAAGGCATCGTTTTAAAATAATTAACACCAATGAAGCTGGCTTAAACGACAATGCTTCCAACTTTCAAGCGGGAAGTTTCTGGTTCCCTCTCAGTCTCCAAATATCCTGATGGGTTTCCCATGGTTTTACTGAGTTCCTATAGGGAAATGCCTGAATACTTTCACATTAGGCCACGACCGCTTCCTTCCACATCTTTCCAATCCATTATTCACTAATCATCCTATCATTCAACGCTATATACAGAGGACCTAACTGCTGGTCCTTGCACCGCGACCTTAAGTGATCTATTTTGCATACTTGTCTAGTTTAACCCTTCAGCAGTCCTACAATTAGAGTGAAGTGCAAGATGCTGCTTATACTGGCGTAGGGTTCGACTCCATATGGGGCGACTTACTGACAGCGTCGATATTTAAAACATAAAATGAAAGGTATCGATTTACGCGTGTAATGTGGCACATAACATGACACCTGGACTGGAACAATGGGAGTCCTCGAGTCATATTTTACGTGGCATCGAACGGGAATGGAAGAGCGATCATATGTTTTGAGGACTATGTGTATCGGGAGAAGCTGTAGGTGTATGTATTCCAAGGTATGTCCTATTTGAGCATTTTACTGGAGAGACTGAAGAAAACCACCAGTCTCCAGCATGACTACGACTTTATAATCAGTCCACTCGACGTTCAGTATTATCCGTTGTTTACACAAAGAGCAACGAGTAATGGGAAAATCGTGTCCGTCAATCTGTCACTACAAGCTGCCCAAGGAATTAATTTCTTTAATGTTTCTCTGCCTATTATAACCTCTGTGAAGCCTAAATCGAATTTGATATATTAAAAAATGCATGACATAAAATTTCATCAAGACCCACGAGCTTTTATATTAAGTTAACCATATTTTTCTAGATGGTTAATATTTAACGAAGAACGAGGACACGTAATTAACTCTGCAGTGTAGGCACGTTTGTCTGTAGTAAAAAATTGACTGTGTAATAATGTACCTCTATCTGTAACGAATTACAGTCAAGGCCAGTGGCGTATGTAAAACAGCTAATAATACGTTTCCTTGACAGGTGACCAAACAGGTTGTTCTAACCGTAATTCCCTGAACTTCTATTTGAGAGGCGCTTGATTCGTATTTTGGCCGGGACACCGGCTGTTTTGACTGAGTTTTCTCGTGGTATTCCTTAGTCCCTCCAGATGGTCTAGAAGTAAACGCGGAGAAAACTAAATACATGTTGCTGTGTCGTCACCAGAATGCAGGGCAAAATCGTGGTGTAAATATAGCTAACAAGGCCTTTGAAAATGTAGCACAGCCTGTATATTTGGGAAAAACAATGACAACTCGAAATTTGATTCAGGAGGAAATTAAGAGGAGATTGAATTCGGGTAAGCTTGCTACCATTCAGTGCGGAACTTTTGTCTTCTCGTCTGCTGTCTAAAAAACGTAAAAATTAGAATATTAAAATTAAAATTTCGCCTGTGGTTCTGTATGAGTATGAAACTTGGTCTCTGATATTAAGGGAGGGACATAGACTGAATGTGTACTGAGAACAGTGTGCTGAAGAGAATAATTGGATTGAAGGAGGCTGAAGAGAAGGGAGGTTGGATAAAATTGCGTTGTGAGAAGCTTCGTAACTGTACGAGTATAATTTAAAATGATCAAGTCAAGGGGGATGAGATGGGCAGGTAATGTAGCTTGAATGGGGAAAGAGGAATGCATATAGAGTGCTGGTGGGAAAGTCAGAAAGAAAGAGACCACTAGGAAGACCAAGACATAGGTGGATGGATAATATTAAAATGGATCCTGGAGAGATAGGATGGGTGTGGTATGGACTGAATTGACCTGATTCAGGATAGAGATCAGTGGATGAGTCTTGTGAACACGGTAATGAACCTTCTGGTTTCATGAATTGCTGGGAAGTTCTTGAGTAGCTGCACAACTGGCGGCTTCTCGAGAAGGACTCAGCTCCATGAAGTTAGTTATTCCTCAGCCCCTCCAGGCAAATGCCTCCAATTAGACCAAGACCGTTACCTCCCAAATGAGTGTCCAGTTTGTCTGTTATCTTATCATTCGACGCACATTGTCTGTGATAGTGAGTGTGTTGCATAATAACCCATAAAATAATAAGTATATTCTGCTAGACTACGCCTTTCTCCCCTTTATAACCCATCAGAAATGTCTAAGAATTTAAAGTTGATTGAGGTGCAAAAAATAGGGCATTTTGCTAGATAAACAGTAAGATTTTGAAGTGTAACTCAAACTAGTTACTATATCATCCTTGCGCATGAAGAGGGTTGGTTTCGATCCTGACAACTGCTACTTATGTACAAAATAAATATAAGGAAATATCTGTCAGTGGATATCACTCATCTGTTACTAGACAAGAGTAAATTCCCCTAATGCCATGTGTATGAAATATACCGCATAACTATATTTGTTAAATATGTTATTTTGCAGACTGCAGAAATGACAGTTCAAACCCTTACGAACGCAAATCATTGAAAATTCATAACGATCACGGTAAGCATTGCGGATTCGGGCGACTGGTTACGATTAACATTCTGTGACAGGAACCCAGAACTGAACCAACCGGACATCACAGATATACAGGGTTACTATAAATGATTCATTCGTTTTTAAAACGCTATATTTTCCAAAGTATCACACCTACAAAATGATTTATATATAAAAAGAACCGTAAACTCACCAAGTTTGTACTTTATGCACCAGTTTGCAGCACGGGTTCGGTGCCTTTACAAAATGGCGACAAAGCAAGAAAAGAGTTTTTGTATGTTGGAATATGCGAGATGTTCGTCTGTTATAGCAGTGCAATGCGCATTCAAAAGAGAGTACGGAAAGAACCGCCATGTAAACAA